CACATCCCTCGCCCACGCCGCTTCCCACAGCCCCCATTGGCCCGGAACGGCGAACCGCGGCCAGTGGGGGCCGCGATCGGCCGAACCTGCCGTGTCAGCAGGTAAATGAACTGGCCTGGCTTACCAGGGTGCTTACCCTGGCGAGCCACGTGCCAGAGGTTGCCGACCCCTGGTGTAGACAAAATAGGGAATAGAATTTTTGTATGCAAAACCACATTGTGTGCAGATTTATGCCTGTACTAATGGAGCTCAGAGTCTGAAAATGAGGCCCTTAATGTATGTCTGTAATAAGAGAAAGTTGGATTTTTTTTTCTCAGAATGTTTTTGTCACCCTTCATCAGTTTCTTTGGTTATTTACAATGATAAATCTGGGTTGGGGTGAAAGAACAAAAACCAGAGGGCAGGGTAGCCTCATTGAACAACTTTGCAATGTCACACCATCATGTTACTGTATGCTTCTGGACAGTGGTCAGTCCTGATTAGTTTTACAGTGATGAAGCATCCGCTAATGTCACTCTAACATTAGGGGATGGAAATGAGGAAAACGAGTGGATGATACTATCAACAGCTGGAACTGGGAGAAAAACCATCAAATAAATTATTGAATTCAACAAAAGAGCGAACGAAAAGAAAAGAGAGAGGAGATTCCTGTGAACTAAAAGTTCAGTAACAATATGTTTCTGCCTCAATGTGGAAGACATCCAGAGTACACCAAAGCTATACATCCAGTCAACATCATCTAGACTGACAGGGCCTTCAAATATGATATATGTTAAACAACTACCCTGTGGCAAGGCCTCAAAAGACCTTATGGTATTTTCTGTTTTTAAAAATCAGGTACACAGAAAATTGTGTTGGCATTTTGCTACAAGAATATAGCTTAAAAGCTGCATTCATATGTGAAGCAGGTACATTTGAAAGAGAGAGCAAGGGAGGGAGGGAGTGGAAGTCACTGGATTTGAAACCATGTGCAGAGAAACTGCTGTGAAATTTTACCTTGGGTTGTGATTAGAGTAGGTGCTTATAACCTCTTTCTTTGCTTATAAGTTGCCAATATTTTAATTTTCAAGATGCATTATTATTTGCTCTCCTTTTCCTAATAATACTTAACTCTCCTATGGCACATTTCAGCCTTCCATCTAAAAAGCTTACTATACAGGAGGATAAGCCACAGTACAATTCTTGTTTCCAAATGAGGAAATTGAGTGGCTTACCTAAATTGACAACGGCAGAGCTGGGAATAGAGCCCAGATCTCCTGACTCTCAGTGCTGGACCTTGTTCATGTCATTGCTCAGAGAATGGGCTGGATCAAGGTTGTATGGCACTCCCCCTCTGATTTAGGATTGTAAAACGAGTCTTCACACCTTCCACTTCTACCCACATCAGTAGAGCTGGTCAGAAAATGCCATTTCTGCCAGACTTAAACTGTTCATGGAAAAGGGTCTTTTTTGGTAATTTTTAAACTCAAATTATTATAATCATTTATTATTTTTTTACATTTTTGAAACACAAAGTTCTGATTTTCTGATTAGAAACAACTTTTTGTTTTGAAATGTAAGGTAATTCAAGGAAAAATAAATATGAAAATTAAAATGGTCAAAACTGAAGCAAAACATTTTGGAATTCTCAAAATGAAATGCTTTGATCCACCCAAATTAAACTTATTTCAGATGTTTGGTTCACAGGCATGGTCGAGAGTTTTAACTTTTCGGCCTGATTCAGACCAGGAAAAATTTTTGATATCTGAAATTTTTTATGGGATAAGAAAACTGTGATCTGCCCAGCGCTTCTGGTGAGCCCTGATTCCATTTCTGGGACCAGCTACAGCTAAGCACAGTTTGGCTAGCTCTGCGGAGCAAACTAGGAGTGACATTGCAGCGGTTAATAAATCAAGTTATCAACCTTAGACCAAAAAAATAAAATCCTAATAAGTTTTCATAGTTTCCCACAGCATCAAAGTACAATCAATGTGTCAAATCTGGCTCTGCAGTGAGGATAAAAAGCTATGAAACATGTGTGGGGCGGGGGGTAGATTTCTTCAGTCGCTTTCTTTTTCAAACTAAACAGAAGAAGAAGAAGAAAAAAACAAAAAACCTTCCCCTGTCCCATTTCTCTATTCACCCTCCAACCTCCTATATTTTCCCTCTAGCTTCAGGAGAGGACCACATTTGGTCTAATGGAGGCCTGTGCCCAGCTGGGATGCTATATTTCAGAGCAGAATGGGCTGTTAATCCATGTATTCCCCACCACTACCACCTCCCCCTCCCTCCCCCCCGAAAAAAAAGAAAAGAAAAGAAAAAGCTGATGGGTTCCACAGTTTACGCTTTTTCAGCCACTGCCTCTCTGCTGGTGTGGTAATGGGATTTTCACCACCCAAGTAAAGCAGAATCTTTATATAATAATTCCCTTTCCTTCCTTCCTTCCAAGAGGCTTTTGTGAATGATTCCACATGACAGCAACATGTGCATGACTTGAAGTCTAGTCATTGTTTTCACACTAATTTTTACTTGTGAATTTCTGTCCCCCCCCCACTTGCCTGAGCAATTATAAATAAATAAAGCGGGTTTGTATTGTTTTGTTTTTGTTTTTCAGGCATAAATAAATTTACTAAGAAGCTTAGAAATCCCTATGCCATCGACAGTAATGAGTTACTAGATTTCCTCTCCAGGGTACCATCTGATGTTCAAAAGGTAAGTAATGAATGGCTGCCACCAACAGGGGCATCAAGCAGCACTAAGAGCTGGCAGCGCTATGCTTGGGGAATACAATGCCGAAGCATTTTGAATAACAGAGATAAGGCATCAGGAAAATCCATAAAGGGGGCAATGAATGTGAGGGAGAGGGGAGCTGAAAACCTTTGTCGGAAGCATAAGATGATTGAAGAAAAATTTATCCTGAAGAGAGCTACTTAAAAATGATCTGGAACTTGCACAGCATGGTCACTGAACTATTGGTTTGTTCACCTTTTTGCTCTGATACTTGTATGGAGGGTGGGGGGGAGAGGAGGGAGGATACAATCTCTCTGAGTGACAGAGAGAACCATCCACAGGGTTTTACTGCATTCCCCATCCCCTCATGCAGGAGTGGGGGGATTATTCCATGACTTTGTGCTTGCTGTGATCTGCTTTGGGCTAGCTGCCATCCTAATTTCTTCTTCCCCACCCACCTTGAACGCAGGGTTCCTTGGACAATGCTACGCTCACCTTTATGACGCAAAGACTTGAGCTCTGTATAAAATAACCTGTGATCAAGAAGATTGATCTTCTACCAGCATGGAATTATAACGTTCAGTCTAGCCAGGATTGCCCTCCCCCCACTTCAGTCATGACTATTTTTTTAAAGCACCGTATTCAATAATCTTGTCCAGCTGGCTGCAAATTATCTGAACAGTGGGTCTTTTAGAATGTCGAGATCTATTTATTTCTCTCGGTGGAAGGAAAATAGTCTTACTGGGTGGCAAATCACACAAAATAAAACAAAAGAAACAATCCTTTATAATCATCCAGAATCTTATGACTGTGGGCCCTGATTCTGCCACCCCGAATCACACTGAAATAGCTTTTTACTCCTCAAGCAGTAGTACTTGCAGAGTATAGTGCTGCTCACTGCAAATAAGGGGATCACAATCTAGCCCATAGTGATTTTACTCTGTTGGAGATTGGAAAATGATTGTCTCCACGCGGTGTCAATACAGCTGGTAGAAACACAGTTGGAAAAGGTTTCCAACGACATTTGTTTCAAGAGATCACCAGATTGGTTGATGGCAGTGCTATAGCTAGAGAAAAATATCTCTATAGATTAGGGAAAAAAGCTAAACAGAAATAATCATAGAGACATTAAGCTTAAGTGTATTTGTATTTTTGTTGTTGCGATTCTAGAATGCACTGGATTTGCAGAGATGGTTTGCACTTGTCCTTTAATGTTTATATTTAAAGATAAGCTGCTTTTCTACTTGTGTTGTATTTAAGATTTACATTTATAACATTTTCCTGAATGGTTTCTGTCATCCTTGGGGAGCTTGACTGAGCTCTGTAAGGAAGAGGATGCTATTTTCTATGAGGAAGCATTGGTAAAACACACATGAAGGGATATACCATATAGGGGAGTTTTGCCATAAATGCTTAAAAAAAAAAAAAAGTGAATACATTTGTAATCTGATACAAGAATCTAATTAAAACCATTCCCAGGCAGTATCAAAGCCACCTCTGCCTGCTCCACTTAACATGTTGCTAAAGTACCTTTGTTTCATTTTGTTAGTACTATGAGTTAGAAAATACCCCAGTATTGTAGCCTGTTACTGTATGCCAGTAGCACATGGCCTGGACAGAAGCAGGGAAAAGGCGGCCTACTCTGTGTAAGATTCTCATGATTTCAATGGGGACACTTTTCAGTTATGCAGCAGTCAGTTTGCGATTGGGAATTACACCACATTTGGATTTATCACAGATGTTTTAACCATTATATCGCAAATGAAATTGCTGTGAGGAAGTAGGGGAAAATCTTTGTTTAGTTTCTATTTGGGAAAATATTTTTCCTCTTTAAAGTGATAAAGCATGTCTGTGTACAGTTTTGAGACCACTCTGACCTTACTGAATATTGGGATCCACTTGCTTTAGCATTCCCAAGAGAGTCTTATTAAACGTATAGGTTAACGCGAGCAAAAAAAAAGGGCAGTCTATCTGGCGTGCTGAGATCAGGTAGTGCCCCGTGCATCTCATTAGAAAAATCTGCTTTTAATATTTTGGTTTCAAGAAATGATGCATGACTTCTCAAATCCTTCCTGCAATTAATCCCCCATGTTCCTGTGTTTAGAAAATGATTCATTACTTTTGAACCTTCCTTAGTTTCCCTTGGTTTGTCCTTGGGGAGCCATTAACACACACTGTAGTGAGCTAGAGTTACCTAACTGCAAACGTCATGTCTATTTGTTTTTACAGGTGCAGCGTGCTGAATTGAAACCATACAGCAGCTCCAGTCCCCTCAGGAAGAAATGGAGTACTCTGTAGGATGCAGACAGATTTTGGAATGCAATATCCCCCTCCATATACACACACACAGATATTTTTTTCTCCCCACACCCTTTTTTTTGGTTCAGACGAACACTATAATAACTGCCATGGGCCCAGGATGGTTCCTCTGGAAGACATACATTTTCTGATGTGCACCTATCCTGGGCTGCCTTTCTTTTTGGCATAGAGGCCTAGCCCAACCAGAGTGGGGTGGAACGCAAGGACGAATTAGTGGGTGGAGAAGAGCATAAGTGCATGTTCCATTTTTTTAACTTGGATTATTAGGCTAAAACCGAATGTCGCAGCTCTCCTTGTTTGTATGTAGCAAGATATAATTCTGCCTAGTATAGCAGATCAGCTAAGCTGATGTGAGGAGATGCTCTGAACTAGTTTTTAACATATCCAACAGATTTACATTAAGATACAAGAGCTATTCTTTTCTCAGTTAAATCACAGCACATAGAAGGGTTTAAACTCTGAATTAACAAATCTTTGATACCCTGCTTCTGTTCAAGCAGTGTATATTTTAAAAAGTTGTTATCATAATTACCAGAAATAGCTAGAAGCTCCCACAGTATCTCAATTTCATCCAGCACTTGTGCTTTTAAAAATTGCTGTTAACTCCTTGATGCCAGAATTGCCTGGCATGAGGTCCATTGCTGGCAATGGACATACCAGGATCCACCTTTGTGAAAGGGTTAAGAGAATTTGCGGACCTGAAAAGACCATATTTCTGACTTGCTTATTTATAATTCCATCTCATCAGATTTTTTCGGCATAGCTGTTGCTTTTGTCTAAATCTAGAGATGTCAACACTACAGCTCTTGAAGAAAAATACTTTATAGCCTTAAAGATGCAAAAGCTTGGGCAGGAGGAGAGAGCACTGTGCCCAAAGCGGTGGTTGTAAATATTTTGCTTTGCTATAATAGCTCTCAAACTTTGGTTCATTGACCACCAATGTTCTGTGGAGTCTTTCCTGGTAGCTCGCAGAATGAAATGATATGAGATCCAAGCAATGAAGAACTGGTGTTTTGGTAGGAGATGTGGGTCCCTGAGAAAATTTCAATTCTCCCAATAATGTAAGTCCTTATATAACATTTCTTGTCCACAGAACTCAGTGCATTACAAAGTTGGGTAACCATTGTTACTCATTTCACAGATGGGGAAAACTGAGGCTCCAGGGGGCAAAAGACAGCACAAATCCCGCTGATTTTCAAGGAAACTTAGGCTGCTCAATCACTTGAGGTAGTGTTGACTTGACTAGAACCTAAGTCTCGTGACACCTTTCAGCCTCCCATCCAATGGCCTCCCCTAAAGTGCTTCCCAGAATAAAGAAACTAGAGAACCACAGAATACAGATGACTTGAAAATGCATTATTTAGAAATAATCTGATTAATCAATGGCTGTAAATATAGGCCTACCTTTATTGGCAGACCTGTCTTGAACAGAGTTATATCATGGTATCCAGCACTGCCACCAGCAAAAGAAATGGGACCGTGATAGTGATAGCTAATGGATTATTACTCCGATTCAGTAATTTTCTAATAGTTTATTTTTCAAAGTAGTTTTAACAACGTTTACATGCCTTCATTGAAGGAGAGGAAGTTTTTTCTTACAAGATTTAATTTTATAAACAAGGTGTTTCACTGGGATCTCCTGTTGTAGGTATATATGAAAGAGTAGAAAATAAATTAGGCGTCATTTAAAAAGGAAATGTGTGTTATGTACATATACACTATATATGTATACTATGTGTATATCTGTATATGTGTTTAGTGTGTGTGTGTGTGTATCTCCTTATATACACGTGCACACACATTTAGATTGCAGTTTAAAAAGCTTCAAAGAAAATGTGTATGAAAACTGCCAAAGATTCTAAAGCTTATCATCTTGTGTCTGTTCTTTTTCATTTTGTATCTTTCCCGGCATGTCTTTCTGGCTGAGTCAGATCTCTGCATGATTTGATTTACTTCAAGTTAATGAAGCTGGTTGGAAAGAGCCTTGTAGAAATTATAAAAGCTCCAGTAAATCTCCTATTTGTACAAACAGTAGATATCCACCGACCCCTTTTGTTAAACCAGTTACTCAATCTTCTGTGTAAACAATGCCTCATTGTCTCACTCTAAACTATCATCTAGTTTATCATACTGTAGTCTGTCATTTTGTAAGGACCAAAGTGAGACATTTTTAAACACACTTGTGAGATCTGTTCATTCGTTTGAATGAAAACATTCAAAAGAAGCAAAAATACCTTATTTGTTTAGAAGGTGGGACCAATATTTTAATAGTATTTTTTCTATAGAATTTTCCACATGAACTGATTTCTATTCAGGAGACAGGGTAATGTCTATTTTTTTAAATGTAGGTATGCTAAATTTCAGACTATTTTGTATTAGATTATTATGCTGGAGACACACAAATGTAAGAGTTTTGCTATGTTCCGGTACCTATATATGTTGCAAAGAGCTGTTTGTTATGATAAATATTTTGAAATGCAATAAACATTTGATTTCAAGATTTTGTGCTATTAATTAATCTAATCAGAATATATATTTCCTATTCATTCTAGAACATTTACTGTGGTACAGTATTTAACATCTGACCATACAAAGTAAGCACATTATATTTAAAGTACATGTCTTGACAGGAAGGAAGTGCAGTATAACAATAACCGCAGAGAATTGGGATTTGGAATGGAAGCCATGCTGCTATGGGGAACAAAGAGTGGTGTAGGGACTGGCGTGGAGGAAGTGGCCATCTGCACAAATCCAAACACAAGTATCCTGTTATCTACAGGATTTATCTATGGCTCTCAGACCATCCACAGGTTTGGAGGGGTTCCCAACTCCCTCCTTGACTTAAGGAGTTCTCCAGTCCTCACATACAGGACCTGGCCTTGGGTGATTGATTGCTCCACATTCAAATGACCAATCTCTGTCTTCACAGCAGTCTTCACTTGGTCCAGAATGGCGGAGTGTGTTTTTGTTTTAAAAACCACACTCAAGTCACCATTTGTGCAGGTGTTCTGTTATGTAAGGTATTGTTATAATGGAAACGTCAATGCACATATCATAGTGTTTACATCCCAAACTCTCTTACTATCATCATGCATTCAGAAACACACACCTGACTATGTATCCTTATACTGCCTAGAGATAAGTTAGCTGTGCACACATGTACATATACACTGCATGGACAGTTGTGCAAATATCGGATCTGAGGTGTACCCACAAATCAAGTATTTCTGCATACATTCGGCCAAACAAGCCACTTCTGAAAAGTTGGTTTTCGTGAATGCATGCAAGTAAAATTTTTTCCTTGAACATTCGTATCGGTTAAGTTCTGCCACTAAAATGCATATCCTGGAAAGCAGGCAAACAAGGGTTGTTGAGCTTGAAAAAAGCATGGCAAATACCTGCCCCTCAACCCCCCCAAAATAAATCTGTCAATATTTGTTTGACATTTAAAATGGATTTGCTTTAATTTTAACCTTAAGTGATGTCAGTTCCTACCACTGTGCCACTATTTAATTATATCAATAAAATGTGGAAGTAGTGGGAATTGTAATGGGTGGCTGGGTTTTTTGGTTTGGTTTTGGGGGGAGAGTTTTTTCTGTTGTTTTTTTTAACTCCGGACATACAAAGTCATCTCTGTTAGAAACTGTATTGTTAATCAAGCCATCATATTTTGCATCTTTAAAGGGACCCTGTCCAGTTCATTATTTTTTCAACTGATTGACTTAAAAATTGCATTTTTCTGATAGAAAATCCTTTAAATAGTATGTCCTGGTTTGTTTGTTTGGGGGGGGGGGGGGAGGAGTTTAGTCCTTTAAAAGAGGAGGAGGATGTTTATAAGAGTCTTTTCAGCCAAAAAGAAGATGGCTAAGGCACTGATCCTACACCTGGATTCATGTTGATCGTTGCCTGACTGACTGTACTGGGGGATTGGTGCACTCACAAACCAAGAAATAGGAAGTAAAATTATGGGAACTTTTCAGTTTTATTACTCAATAGCAACGATAAGTTTAAATTTTATTGCTAGATTTCAAGTTAATGGTGTCCCCTTAAATGGCTGCTGTTTTGTAATTCAGGTAATGCAGACGTTTAGTTACTTCCATTTTCTTGCTGCGTATGAAATATTTTATCTTTAGCCTTTGACACATTTTTAAAACACTTGGGCAGTGTGTATTCTATCTCCTGTTAAAATAGCTCAGAGATAGCTCAAATGTAGCTCAGAGGAAAAGTAACTAATTGTCCTGTGATTCTTCATGCCCTTCCCTTAATACCATTTTTTATTTTCTTTGAAAGAGTTTTTTATGCTTGCTTGATGGTGCTGGACTTGAATAGTGCTTGACGGGACTGTTTTTAGGATATAGAGCTTCAATGTTACTAAAGTTTCCTCCCCACTTCTTCATTGTTCTTCAACTCTGACCACCCTTACAGAACAGTGAGCAGTTCAGCTTCCTAGATCAGCAGTTCTCAAACGGGAGGTTGGGACCCCAAAGTGGGTCACCAGGGCTGGCATTAGACTTGCTGGGCCCGGGGCCAAAGCCCAAGCCCAAGCCCCACCGCCAATGGCCGAAGCCCAAGCCCCGCCGCCAATGGCCGAAGCCCAAGCCCCAAGCCTGGGGCCGAAACCCTTTGGCTTTGGCCCCCCTTCCCAGGGCGGTGGGGCTCAGGCTTCAGTCCTCCCTCCTAGGGTCATGTAGTAATTTTTGTTATCAGAAGGGGGTCGCGGTGTAATGAGGTTTGAGAACCCTGATCTAGATCATTAATCAGTGGCCTTTTCAACTGGGATTGAGTTGAGTAGCAATTGTGATGGGAATTCATACAATATAGGCACCTGTCCACTAGGAACTAGACTGAAATCCACTAACTCACTTTATATAGGCCACTAACCAACAGATGGCAACAGCCCACTACCAACCTGAGCCAATCTGTCGCTACCAGCCTGAACAGTCTAGAGGAGAAAGATTTACTATTGCCAGTGTTCTACGCCATTCACTTTTTTTTTTTTTGAGACCCTGATCCTTCAAGCACCCTCACAAGCAGAACTGACATTGACTTCCCCTAACATCAATAGAAATGCACCAGGGATGAGTTGGGGGAGGTGGAAGGGGTTGGTTTTTTTGTTACGTTTTTTTTTTTAAATAAGATTCACAAAATGCTTCTTAACCAAACTCCAACCTTTAGATTCTCAGCCCTTTAAACTAAGTTGATAGTCTGAGAAATGTTAGCTTTGGCTTTAGAGACTATGGTGCGTGTTAGAAGTGAATCCTCTTCTGATTCAATATTGTACTTGCATTTTATCTGTAAAGCTGCATGTGTCAGTGCCCTGGTGCATCCACCCCTTCAAATCACACAGCGGCATGATAAGAATATCTGCTCTTTAAAATCCATAAAGTTAGCAACTCAGAGGGAGGCTGAGATACTACAAACGATTGTTAATCTGGCGTGTTGCAGATGGGGTGTTTTAATCGCTCTCAAATTGGGAAAAGTAAAGCCAGTTGAAACTCCATCATTTCTGGGTTGAGGTTCTGTCAGGTGATTCATTGTGGGGAAGGGAATCCTGCAACAACTAAAATCTTATAGTACCAAGGGAATCTAATGTGAGAAAAAGACATGTTTTATTTAACATATACATACCCAAACAAAATGAATAATGATTCATTTCAGCTGCACCATAATGGGCTTGCACCAATTTTTAATCCGCTATTTCCCCCCCATGTTTTGATTTAAAAGAATGCAGTGTTCAAGGAGGATTTAGAAAGCTTTGAAAAATTGATTTGTGGTTCTTTAATATATTTAAGCCTAAAACTTCTATTCCACGGCAAGAAGGAGCCGTGGTAGCTGGTCATGATGTTTAACACAGCATAATTTATGAAGTAGAAACTAAAGGTATGAGTTGAAATTCTGAGAGTGCAAGTGGCCAATGGGCTGGAGATCTTTTTCTCCTAAGACAAATATTTCCAATTGGCCCCAGTGTGTTGGACTGAACTAGATGATACCTGCCTTAATTAGAGGAAGGGAGGAGAGAGGTAGAACATTTGCTGACTTAATTGGAACCGAGGTTCTGACCCTCAGCTTCCTTGTGCCAGTGAAAAGCAGCCCTCAAGCCACCTAACTAGCTCCTAACCGTGCATTGGGGAATCCAGTGAGTAGGGAACAGGAGGCACGTACAAGTTATCCCTACACTCCTGCAATCACCATCTGCTCGAATGGCTCCCATATGTTAGAGCAGCCCCAAATCTACAGAGGGGTGGTGGGAAAAGATAATAGATAAATACATTCAAATAATATGGAGATTGATGGAAATAGAAAAGTGGCCCGTGTTGCGTTGGGGACCCCTAATATAGAGATTCCTTTTCCCATCCGAAATACTGGTGATTCCTTCTCTCACCTACTGGAAAAGCTATTTCCCAGTGTCCGCCTCCACACATTAGGGTGAATGCCGGGGTAGAAAGAGAGACAAGCCTCTGGTAACATACTTGCATAGGTGTCACCACGGCCTCCTACCAAATAGAATTCAGACCTGTTCAGGTGTGGGTGACTGTCACCGTCCAGGTGGTGGAGTTTCAAAGAAGTGATACAAGTCGCCAGACTTGGGACCCTCAACTCCAAAATATGCAGCCGTCTAGATTCTTCTGCAGCTCAGAGTAAATGGTTTGGTATTTCATAGCAAAGGGTCCAAACTGCAAACCTCTTCTGACAATTGGGAAGTAGATGATGTTACATTCAGGTCAAGGTAGCTATTAAATCTTTTGGACCAGATCCTCTGCTGGTATAAATGGAAATGGGCTTTTCAGTTACAATGGCACATCCCATTTGCACCGGCTCAAGATCTGGCCCTTTGAGTGGATTGCTTAAATATACACCAAGGAGAACTCAATAACCCAGGCTTAAAAAAAATTCCCATGGAGCAATCTTGTGGCCACTGTCAAGTCCACCTTCTGGATGTTACCAATGGGATTGGGCTGAACTTTCTTATCCCTGTGCCACATAGGAAATTGGCGAATAATGGGTGGTTGTGACACACACAGATTTGTGCCCTTAGAAGAAGTTGCCCTATCACCCTTGCCCAAAGTAAGGCAAATATTTCTCCCCTTCATTTCTTAGTGGAGATGCACAGTGGAAATAGTGCATCTTCCCACATGCAAAACAATTGCATTGTAAGTTCCACTGCTTTATGTGCTAAATGTTGCTTTGATCATGATCCTTTATTTCTCCCCCCATCTTGTGTGTGTCTTTAGACCCCTTGAGAGAGTCACTGCCCTAAGAGAAGGGAAAAAATATATGTGTAGTCTCCCTCCATCCCTGGCAATAGACGACTTTACTGAAAGTCAATGCCATCCACTTGCATTTATCACTGCCACTCTTGCTCTGCATATTTTTGGTATTCGCCATGCATTGTTAACGGTGATTGTCATGTAATTAAATCACTGCTCATCACAAGAGCCTATTTTTATGCTGAGATAAGCATCAGAAGTCTGCTGCAGCGTCCCCCA